ACTACTACTACTACTACTACTTTTACTACTTCTTTTACTACTACTACTACTACTACTACTACTACTACTACTACTACTACTACTACTACTACTACGACTACTACGACGACTACTACTACTACTACTATTACTACTACTACTACTACTACTACTACTACTACTACTACTACTACTACTACTACTACTACTACTACTACTACCTAGTACAACGAATACCACTAAGGTATCTTTACCAACTGCTGAGACTGCCACTACAACATCTACTAATGTTACTTCTAAAAATACCTGACTCCTCCTCAGCCTCTATCCATGCATCCGCCTTGCATATGTCCTAGCGGCGCGATTGGTGGCCTTCGTGTCCCACGCGGTGTTGCCATTCTTCACGGTGGCGTCCTGGTTGGGGTGAAATGACAACGACCGGCTCCACACAAGGCGGAGACATGGTCATTGCATTACACTTGTCGTTTTAAGCACAGCAACGCCACCATAGTGGCAACATAGGCCGCCTCACAGCAATCCGCCACCGTGCTTGCACGGAGTGGGCGTGTTAGGACGCCGAGTGTTGTCTGGGAGGTTTCTTATTTTCCTGGTGCCGAGCCCCCACCCCCACTCGCACGCGCCCCTAAAAATTCCCCCCCCCTCACCCCTGAAGTTGCTTTCTGGCGTTCTTTTCGACCTCGAGACGGCAAGGTTGGCCTCCATGTCGGCTTCCAAGACGGTCAAGATGACACCAAGGCGGCCCAAGATGGCCCAAGACAGATCAAGAGGCTCCGAGGACAGTCTCAAGACAGCTCCAAAGGCTCCCAAGACGGCCCGAAAGCCCTCCTGGATTTTGGAAGATTTTGAGGTTCCCGCCTGCTGGGCATCCAACCGCCCAAGACGGCCCAAGAGGCCTCCCAGATAGCTCCAAGACAGCCAACGAGGCCCCCAAGAGGACCCCGAGTCGGCCCAACAGGACCCCGAGATCGCCAAAGAGCCTCCCAAGAGGGCCCCAAGAGGGCCCTAACTCTCCTCATCCTAATCCTCCTTCTCCTCCTCTTCCTCCTCCTTCTCCTCCTCCTCCTAATCCTGCTCCTCCTTCTGCCAACCGCGCGGACGAAGACGATGTCGGGATCACGACCCTCCCCGGTTCGGACCACTCGCTGAACTGCCGCGGGGTGTGAACTCGACCTCCCTCCTACCGTGCGGAAGAAGACGAGGTCGAGTTTACGACTCGTCCTTGTCATGACACTTGTCGGAACTGCGCCGTTCCTACACTCAGTCTCCTTCCTGTAGCGTTGTTGCACAGGCGCGGCGGCAGGGCTTGCCGCAGGCAGCTGGATACTAGGGCCACCTGCGACCCTGTTGGACCGATCCTGCACACTGCATGTTGGGAGTCGTTCAGATCTGTTTTGCCCCCGTCCTGGAACGAAGGGATGTGTGGGGAAGCCGAACCCCTCTTGCACGGTGGCGCACGGGAAGAGAAAAAACATGGACCGACACCGTGCCCTCGCTGGGCCGCGGGGTCGGCAGAGGGCGACTCGGGAAGGAGGAGGAGGAGGAGGAGGAGGAGGAGGAGGAGGAGGAGGAGGAGGAGGAGGAGGAGGAGGAGGAGGAGGAGGAGGAGGAGGAGGAGGAGGAGGAGGAGGAGGAGGAGGAGGAGGAGGAGAAGGAAATCGCGACATCAGCCACCGTGCCCTCTGGCACGCGGAGGCGTGGCAGAGTACCACAAGTGCTGCCCGGCAGGGCCTCTGTCCTCTTCCAAAGGGGCCCCCCCCTTCTCGGGACGCACGCCGCTGCAGGCATCGCCCCCCTCCTCCCGAGGCCACGAGCCCTCGCGAAGTGCGTGCGACAGACTCGCGCTCCCGAGGCCCAGATGCCTCCAGGACGGCCCAATCTCGCTCCAAGACGGGCAGCTTTGCCCTCAAGACGGCACAAGATGGCTTCAAAACGGCCCACGAGGCCTTCGAGGCGTCCGAAGAGAGCTCCAAGAGCCTTCCCAAGAGGACTTCGAGAGGCACTAATCATTGATATTCCGTAGGCGTGTGAGATTCTTTCCCCCCATGATCCCGCCCAAAGGACCCCAAACCGGAAATTTGACCCCCCCGGCCTGGCACGACCCCGGACCGAACGCGCAAAGGGGCCCCAAAACAGGCCAAGAGGGGACTAAGACGCCTCCCAGACGGTCCAAGAGGGCCCCAAGATCGCCCCAAAAAGCCCAAGATGGCCCAAGACGGCCCTACAGGCCGCCAAATCGCTCCAAGATGCCTCCAAGAGGCCTCTCAAGAGGCCTCTCAAGAGGGCCCCAAGAGGTTAAAATCATTGATGTTCGTTGATTTTCTTAAGGTTTTTGGGGTTCTCGCCCTTCGGCTTCCCGGGGGGGGCCGAAGACCGCTTCAAGACGGCCCAAGAGGCCCCCGGCCGAAGAGAACCCCAAGACGGCCCAAGAGCCGCCCAAGACGGCCCAAGAGGCTCCCAAGACTGGCCCAAGAGAGGTCCAAGAGGGGGACCAGGAACTGAAAAATCTAGCCTTCCACCCCACGAAGCTCCCAGGAAGCCCCAAGAAGGCACAGAGGCCCGAAGAGGCCCCCAAGACGCCCCCAAGACGCCCCAAGAGGCTCCCAAGAGGCCCACAAGAGGCCCAAAAGAGGCCCGAAGAGGCCCCAAAACGGCTCCCAAGACGCCTCAAAACTGCCTCCCGGAGGCCCCCGAGAGGCCAACCACGAGATCCCAACCAACACACATGAGGTCTCTGACCCACCACCCAGGCACGGTGACAGAATAGGCCAAAAGCAACTAGACCTGCTTGGCACGGGGACGGAACGCGCACTTACTTTCAGAGCGCACGAGATCGCTGGCTCGTCCGCTCTTACACCTCTTATTGACTCCCTTCCCCTCGCTTTTGTCCTATCTCAGCCTCGGAGAGTCGCGGAGCTTTCTTTGAGCGCGTTTCTTGTTTTGGAGGGGGCGGTCGGGTCGCGTTGCGTTTTCCGCGTTTGGGATGCCAGCTTTCCAGAACCCCGCGTTGTCCTTGCGTGGACCGCTCGTTGTCCACGCGTTGCCGCCCGTCCCTGTGCCATGGCGTCAAGAACTTATTACGCCGCAGCTCTCTGTTGGGAGCTTTGGTCTTATCAGCTCGATTACGTCACCGCTCGCTCTTGGGAGCCGCGGTGCTAAGAGCCTTTGGGAGTACTTTGGGCCTCTTGGGGGGCTCTTGGGGAGCCTCTTGGGTGCCTCTTGGGGACCTTTTGGGGCTATTCGGGGGCCTCTGGGGGCCTCCTGGGAGCTTCTGGGCTGCGGGGGTGAAGGGACTAGGCTGCTTTTGGCCGTCTTTGGGCTCTCTTGGGGGCCTTTTGGGGCCTTCTTGGGGGCCTCTTGGGCCTTCTTGGGGCGCTCTTGGGGGCCTCTTGGACAGTCTTGGGCGCCTCTTGGCCCGTCTTGGCCCCCTCTTGGGCTATTGTTGGGGCCTCTTGGGAACATCTTGGGCCGTCTTGGGGCGGTCTTGGGGGCCTCTTGGACCGTCTTCAGCGCCATGAAAGGCGAAAAGCCGTACATGCTAAAAATGCACGTTTTCCTTAAAAAAAAAAACAATGATTTTGGCCTCTTGGGGCCCTCTTGGGACGCCTCGTGGGCGCCTCCTGCGGCGTCGTGGAAGCCTCTTAGGACGTCTTGGGGCCGCCTTGGGCGGTCTTGGGCTCTCTTGGAGCGCTCTTAGGCCGTCTTGGGCGCTTCTTGGGCCGTCTTGGGCCGTCATGGGCGCCGTCTTGGCCGCTTCTTGGGCTGTCTTAGGCGCCTAAGACGGCCCAAGAAGCGCCCAAGAAGCGTTTTCCTATGATGTTTCGAGCGAAACGCTGTTTTTAAGCCCCGAAGGCAGTCCTACTCGATAAAAAAACGAGGCGGGAAGGGCCTTTTGGAGCCTTCTTGGGGCAGTCCTGGGGCCGTCTTGGGCAATCTTGGCGCCTCTTGGGCCGTCTTGGCGCCCTCTTGGGCCGTTTTTGCGCCCTCTTGGGGGCCTCTTGGGCCTTCTTGGGGCGCTCTTGGGGGCCTCTTGGACAGTCTTGGGCGCCTCTTGGCCCGTCTTGGCGCCCTCTTGGGCTATTGTTGGGGCCTCTTGGGAACATCTTGGGCCGTCTTGGGGCGGTCTGTGGGGCCTCTTGGACCGTCTTCAACGCCATGAAAGGCGAAAAGCCGTGTATGCTAGAAATGCACGCTTTCCTTGGAAAATCAATGATTTTGGCCTCGTGGGGCCCTCTTGGGACGCCTCGTGGGCGCCTCCTGCGGCGTCGTGGAGGCCTCTTGGGACGTCTTGGGGCCGCCTTGGGCGGTCTTGGGCTCTCTTGGAGCGCTCTTGGGCCGTCTTGGGTGCTTCTTGGGCCGTCTTGGGCCGTCTTGGGCGCCGTCTTGGCCGCTTCTTGGGCTGCCTTAGGCGCCTAAAACGGCCCAAGAAGCGCCCAAGAAGCGTTTTCCTATGATTTTCGAGCGAAACACGATTTTTGAGCCCCGAAGGCCGTCCTACTCGAGAAAAAACGAAGCGGGAGGGCAATTAGATCTCGGGCGTCGCGATGCCAACCCCCTCGAACTCCCCCAAGTCCAATTTCTTCCGACTAACGGACCGCACGCTAACGCGCGCTTCCCGTCATCCGCCGCCCCCTGTCGATTCATCGCAGGGGTGCCTGGCGTGCTAGACCTAAAAAAATCGCAACGTGCACAACAAATCCTCCCCAAAACGGCCGTTTCGCTCGAAACATCCTCAAACAATCGCGAACGTGCACAAAACATCCTCCCAAAAACGGTCGTTTCGCTCGGGACATCCTCAAATAATCGCGAAGATGGCCCAAGATGGCCTCCAAGTCCGCCCAAGATGGTCCAAGACGGCCTCCAAGATGGCCCAAGAGAGTCCAAGACGGCCCAAGACGGCCCAAGAGGCCCCCCAGAGGCCTCCAATACGGCACAAGCGGGCTGCAAGAGGTCCTCCAGGAGGGCTCGAAGAGGCCAAAATCATTGATTTTCCTTCGGTTTTTGAAGGATTTTGGAATTTGCTTCTTCTCGGCCTTCCGACGGCTCAAGACGGCCCAAGTGCCCCCAAAGATCGCCCAAGAGGTCCAAGACACGGCCCCAAGAGGCCCCAAGACGGCCCAAGAGGCCTCCAAGACGCTCAAGATGGCCTCCAAGACGGTCCAAGAGCCCTCCAAGACGTCATCCAAGAAGGCCAGAAAGAGTCAAATGGCCTCCAGACGGCCAAAATGACCTTCAAGATGCCCACGTGTTCCCCGAAGGCTTTCCAAACCGATTCGGGGAACAAATGGTCCGGTAGCTTGGCAGGTCTGGCCTCAACGTTCGGCCACATAGGCGCTTCCACAAAGGCAGGGGGCGGCGGTGGTTCGCCGTAGGCGTCTTCGATGGCAGACCTGAGGGATACTCATTCCCGCAGGAATCAAGGGGTCGGCCGATGTGGCGCAAGCCTGTAGAATCATTGATATCCCGTAGGTTTTTCAATATTTGTTCGGGTCCTCGCCTGTTGGTGCATGCGGCGTCCCAAAGATTACCCAAGACGCCACCAGGACCCGGAGGCCCCCCAAGAGGGCTCGAGACGGCCTAAAAGGGGGCCCCGAATGCCCAGGAGGGCCCCAAGACGGCCCCAAGGAGTGCCCAAGAGCGCGAGCACGAACCGACCAGCCGAGCCTTCCGCCCCAAGAGTTCCGGAGGCCCCACGAGGGCCAAGGGGCGCCAGACCCAGAGCTTGTATGAGAAGTCCTTGGCGATCACAAAGAATCCCCCACCCCGACCCCGGCACCCGACCAGGATTCAAGGAAACCACCCGCGGCCCCGACGCTCGCAAAGCCCACCTGGGAACTGGGAAGGATAACCTGGAGAAGGAGGGACCCGTGGGAGAGAAGGAGGTGGAGGAGGAACGCTCCAAGCTTGGAAGGGTATAAGGCAGTGCAGGATAGGGGGGGGGGGGCGCGCGGCGCACGGGAGCCCTGCAGCGCAGTTGCGGCTGGCCGCAAGTCCTTGTCGAGGAAGTCCCTAGGAAGGAACGCGACGCTCGCGGAGCGGCCCCGAGTTGGCTGCCACGCAGCGGGCCCAGGCCGGAGACTGCGAAGAGGTAAGGCCCCGTGAAGGCACGCGAGCATGGAGCGGAAGCGCCTGGACAGGCCTTGGGACTGTTCGGTGGCAACTACTCATGGGAGCCTCCCATACCATCTCGTCGGCTCTTGCGAATCGGCGCTGATCGACCCTAGATCGACGCTCATCGACGCGAATCGATGCTGACCGACGCTAAGTCGGCGCTACTCAACGCCAAATCGACGCTAAAAGCGGAATTAAGAGGGTATACCAGGCTCCCATGATTTGCTGCCGAAGGAACTGCGACGTCCCGCGCAGGCGGACACGACGGAGACCCCGCGCGGGCAACCCAGAGCGGGAGCCCAGGCAGAATTCAGCGCCCCTCTCGCGGGGACTTCACCAACGGGCACGTTGGCCAGTGCCCCGGCGAACCCAACCCTCCCCGATGTGGGCAACGCTGCAATGCCAGAAAGAGGCCCAAAAATGGCAGCTTCCGGCAAAAATCTCCAGAAAATGCCCCTTAGGAAATACCTGTTACGGTACCGCTGAAGAATTGACCAGACAGGCGCGCCGGGTGAGCCAGCAGCTTGGCGCAGAGTCGTCATTGATGCTGCGTCTCTTCCTCCCCCCCCTGCTCCTCCTCCTCCTCCTCCTCCTCCTCCTCCTCCTCCTCCTCCTCCTCCTCCTCCTCCTCCTCCTCCCCCCGCCCCTCCTCCCCCTCCCCATTCTCAAGCAGCGCATGGTGCGAATCAAAAGACAGCCAACGTGCAGCCGTTCCCTCAAAGCGGTGAGTTTTGGTTGGCCCTGTCCTCTTTTGCCCACGCGCTGCGGCGTATGGCATTTCGTTCGCTCGCTCGCTCGACGGTCGGGAAGCTGCACAAGAGACGCCGCTGCCCGGCGAAGGGGAGCGGCAGGGCCGGCGGACCACGAAAGCGGAGGTGGAGGAGGAGGAGGAGGAGGAGGAGGAGGAGGAGGAGGAGGAGGAGGAGGAGGAGAGGGAGGAGGAGGAGGGGAGCGAGGAGGAGAGGAGGAGGTGGAGGAGAGAGGAGGAGGAGGAGAAGGAGGAGGAGGAGGAGGCGGCGGCAGGAGGAGGAGGGAGGAGGAGGAGGAGGAGGAGGAGGAGGAGGAGGAGGTGGGGGGCGAGAAGGACAGGCGGAGGAGGAGGAGAAGGAGGAGGAGGAGGAGGCGGAGGAGGGAGGAGGAGGGAGTGGAGAGGCGGAGGAGGAGGAGGAGGAGGAAGGGGCGAGAAAGGCAGGCGGAGGAGGAGGTAGGAGGAGGAGGGGGAGGAGGAGGAGGGGAGGAGGGGAGGGGGAGGAGGAGCAAGCTCGGGGCACCGCCCCTGCCGAAGAGCACGGAGAGGACCCCTGCCGAGCACCACGAGGACGGCAGCGCGGGCGGGCCCGCGTGCGCGCCACGGGAGAGGGCGGCGCCGTGGCGGCGCGGCCAGGGGGGGGAGGGGGGCGGAGGGGAGGAGGGGCGAAGGGCCCGCCGCTGCACGGGGTGGAGGAGGAGGAGGAGGAGGAGCAGGAGGAGGGGGGATGACGAGGAGGAGGAGGAGGAGGAGGAGGAGGAGGAGGAGGAGGAGGAGCAGAAGTCCACTCGCCGCACGAGAATCCGGGTGGCCAGGCAAGCAGGGCCATCGCGGCGGAGCGAAGAGCCCAAATGCGATGGTGAAAGGCGCCAAGGGCTGCGAGTCACGTAAACCAGGTGGGCGCCGGGGCGCCGGGAACCCCATGGCCTAGGGGCTGTAGCGCGCTCGTCGCTCGTCACGGCAACCTCTCTTGTTGCGCCCCCAGTGACCGCGCTGCGCCGAGGTGGCGCCTGAGCTGGTCCAGGTCGCAAAATCTTGCCGAGGCCCTTCCCGACGGCGCTCTCGTTCTGTCCAGCTCTGTCGTCCGAAGCTCTACGGGCCCCTTCCCACTTGGTGATGAGACCACTTGGGTCACATCGCGTCTTGCCGTGGCCACTTCCCGAAGAGAGGTCACGGCACCCTCCGGAACGGCGCAAACGGCGCAAGTGGTCAAGGGGTGCGTTCACGGCTCGCCAGGTCCAGTCGACGTTTTGGCAGTGCGAGCGCTGGGACGCCGCGAGAACGTGGCCCTCGCTCTGCGGCCTCTTGACGGCCTCTTGTCCCGATCCGCCTGGAAACGGGTCCTGGGAGATCCGCTGAAATGGTCTCCTGCACAAGGTGGGAGGTCGCGGTCGCCCCCTGTAACCCTGTGGCCCTGATGATCACTGGGCGGGGTTTGATAAAATGAAGGTTTCGGGGGGGATAATGAATTCATCGCACCGGCAACTCGTGTGTACGATTATATGTTCTAGCCTGATCGCCCTGGAGGGGCCTCCTCGGAGGGGTCCGAGGAGCACGAAACCTGAGAAATAATATTACATAGCGATGCCCTGCTCGCTCTGGCGGGGCCTCCCTGCAAGGGCCCGAGGAGCCCGAAACTTGAGAAATAGCACGGCACAACGATGCCCTGCTCGCTCTGGAGGAGACTCCCTGGAGAGGTCGGAGGAACACGAAACCTGAGAAATAGCATGGCATAGCAATACCCTGCTCGCTCTGGAGGAGCCTCCCTGGAGGGGTCGGATGAGCGCGAAGCCTGAAAAATGGTATGGTTGAATGATCCCCCGCTCGCTCTGGCGAGGCGTCCCTGGAGGGGGGGTAACACGAAACCTGAAAGCACAAGCTGGTGTGCTGATCCCCTGCACGCTCTGTCGGGGCCTCCCTGGATGGGGTGGGAGGAGTGGGAGTTTCTGGGGGTGCGGGAGGAGCAGGAATCCCTGGTGCGCGGCTGCTTTCCTCGGGAGGGCTGGTGGCTCGAGACGTTCGCGCGCCGCTCGCTCCGGCGGGAGCGGTCTTCTCACGAAACTGTGGCCTCCAAGAGGGGCCCAAGAGGCCACAACTGGCCCCCAAGAGGCCCCCAAGAGGTACCAGGTGGCCCCCAGCATGCCCGAAAGAGGCTCCAGGAGCCCCCACAACTGCCCCCAATAGGCCCCAAAACTGCCTCCAAGAGGCCCCCGAGAGGCCCCCCACGAGATCACAACGAACATCCAATAGGCTTCATACCCGCAACCCACGCATGGTGGCGGGATGGGACGAAGGCCATCAGCCGTCAGATAGTTAAACCCAGCTCTTCATACTCCTGCACTCACCTCTACAGAGTATAAGGCTGAAGATCCTAACTTCTGGCCATCTCTGAATAATCGACAGAGGATTCGATGCCCGAAGTGCCACTCCAAATTGTGAAGCACCATGTTGATCGCCCCTTGTGCATCTCCAAAACTGCTGTTCTCAAACCGTGTCTTGCCCTGTCCTGTATGCCGGCCTCGTTCCTCCCCCCACTGCGGTCCCCATATGCCAGGCTGTCGTCCAACGCGGGAGAGGTCGTAACGAAGGCCTGCGCCGAGCGAGCATCTCTTTCAAACAGGAACAAGCAACAGCAATCTCCTGCCCCACGGGGACGGCCCAAGCAAGGGAAGGGTCGGGACTCGGTAGTCCCTGATCTCTGAGAAGGTGAAGACTACCCTTGGCTCTTGCCCGCCCTGGACAGCCCAGAGAATTATCATTCTGGACTCTCGACCTGGCGGTCGTTCCTCATGGCTCTGTTCAACATGCCCCACTGTGTGCGGAAACACCAAGACACTGCATGTTCCAACAATGTAGCCGGGCGGTTTACACTGGACTGTAAGATCAGGGAAGGCATCATCAGAAAATGTGTCATGTTCCATCCTCTGGAATCCGGTTTTGCCAACCAGACCAATATGATCAAAACGATGGATGCCGAAACGACGGGGTCGACACGATGGCCCAAATGCATTCAAAACAAAAGAAAACCGTGACAAGCGTCGCAGACTGGCAATACCGAGTCTGCAGAGGGCCGAGACAGCAGAGCATGTGAACGGCAAGCCTCGAGCACCTGTACCTACCCACCCCTGAACTTCTGCCCTATCCCCTCTTATTCGTCCGTCCCCCGTCCCTCCCTCTCTCAGCGTCTCAGGTCTTCCCCCTTCCCACCTCTTCCACTGGCACCACCCCCTCCTGATCCTTCCACTCATGCTCTTCCTCCTCCTCCTCCTCCTCCTCCTCCGCCTCCTCCTCCTCCTCGCCCTCCTCCTCCTCCTCCTCCCCCTCCTCCTCCTCCTCCTCCTCCGCCTCCTCCTCCTTCCTCCTCTTCCTCCTCTGCTCCTCCTCCTCCTCCTCCTCCTCCTCCTCGTCCTCACTCCTCCTCTCCTCTCCTCTCATCCTCCTCCTCCTCCTCCTCCCTCCATCCTCTCCTCCTCCTCATCCTCTCCTCCTCTTCTTCCTCCTCCTCCTCTCCTCCTCCTCCTCCTCCTCCTCCTTCCCCCTTCCTCCTCCTCTCCTCCTCCTCCTCTTCCTCCTCCCTCCTCCTCCTCCTCCTCCTCATCCTCCTCCTCCTCATCCTCTCCTCCCCCCCCCTTCCCCTCCCCCCTCCCCCTCCTCCTCCTCCTTCTCCTCCTCCTCCTCTCCTCCTCCTCCTCCTCCTCCTCCTCCTCCTCCTCCTCATCCTCCTCCTCCTCCATCTTCTCCCTCCTCCTCCTCTCATCAGCATCCTCCTCCTCCTCCTCCTCCTCCTCCTCTCCTCTCCTCCTCCTCCTCCCCCCACCACCACCACCACCACCACCACCACCCCACCAGCAGCAGCAGCAGCAGCAGCAGCAGCCAGCTCCTCCTCCTCCTCCTCCTCCTCCTCCTCCGCCTCCTCATCATCATCATCATCATATCATCATCATCATCACATCGTCTCATCACATCATCATCATCATCATCACCCCACCACCACCATCATCATCATCATCATCATCATCATCATCATCATCATCATCATCATCATCATCATCATCATCATCATCATCATCATCATCATCATCATCATCATCATCATCATCATCCTCGTCATCAGCATCTTCAGCATCATCGTCATCATCATCATCAGCAGCAGCATCATCATTATCATCATTCGTAATGGTGGTATATTGGTGTGGGTGGCTTGTGTGTAAGGGTGAGATTAAAGACTAGCATCATCAGCAGCAGCATCATCATCAGCCCTGGCAACAAAATCATCATCACCGTTATCATCATCATCATCATCATCATCATCATCATCATCATCATCATCATCATCATCATCGTCACCACCACTATCATCATCATCAGTATCATCATCATCATCAGCAGCATCATCAGTCGCATCATCATCAGCAGCATCAGCATGATCATCATCATCATCATCATCATCATCATCATCATCATCATCATCACAATCATCATCATCAGTATCAGCATCATCAGCATCAGCATCAGCATCAGCAGCATCATCAACATCATCAATATCATCATCCTCACCATCATCAGCATCATCATCCTCTGTGTTCAGCATCATTCTCTTAATCATCATCCTCGTTATCATCAAAATCAGCATCAGCAACACCATCATCATCAGCATCATCATCAGCATCATTATCACCATCATCATCACCATCAGCATCCCCATCATCATCAGCAGCAGCATCATCACCATTACCAGCATCATCATCACTATCATCATGATCATGATCACCATCAGCAGCATCATCATCGTTGTCATCATCAACATCTAGGCTTCATCTTCCTCCTCCTCATCTCCCTTCTCGTCCGCGCAATCAGAAAATTAAGACGTCTGCACAAGCAAGAGCAAGAAGGAATATATACAATCAAAACCGATAAGAAATCCGTACAATCAAAAACAATATGAAATCCATACGATCAAACACAATAAGAGATCCATACAAGCAAAAACAATCAGATATTTTTTTTTTTGCGAACCCCTGGAACATGTCATCGACCCTGCCCACCTCGAGCGCACGGCGTGCCGCTGCCAACTGTTAGGCGACGGGCGGTGCGGGAGCGCCTGGCGGCAGCACGAAGCCGTCCGAGCGGAATCATCGAATTTCCTTCCGGCAGCCCCTTTCAGCTCCTGACGGGGCTCTTCGAATTTCCTTCCGGCGGCCGGAGAACGGCGGCCTTCGAGAACAATCAGAAATCCATACAATCAAAAACAAGAAGAAATCCAGACAATCAAAAGCAAAAAGAAAACGTCTTTGGTCCACGAACCCTGTGAGGGCCCCAAAGAAAACAGAAAAAAAACACCTGTGAGGGTTCAACAAAAAACAAAAATCAACGGAAAAAGCCCGAAGTTACGAAAACCATTGATTCTTGTTTTTGCTAACCCTCACAAGTTTTATTGTTTTAGTTATGTTTGGTTTGGTTTATTTGGAGACCTCGCAGGGTTCGTGGACCAAAGACGTGATCTTATGGTGTTTGATACATGTTTTTTATCAGTGTTTTTGATTGTATGGATTTTTGATTGTTTTCGATTGCGTGGATTCCTGATGAGTTGCGATTGCATGAACTCCTAAGTATTTTTGATTGTATGGATTTCGTATTGTTTCTGACTATGCGGATTTTTGATTGTCTTGATTGTCTGGATTTCTTGTTCTTTTTGATTGCACGGTTGTATGGATTTATTGTTACTGTTGATTGTAAGGGGTCCTGCTTGTTTTTGATCGTATGGATTTCTTATCGTTTTTGATTGTATGGATTTCTCATTGTTTTGCTTGTGGTTTTCTGTTTGCTTTGATTATGTGGAACTTTTATTTAGTCTTACTGTACGGATGTCTTACAGTTATGATTGCGCGGAGGAGGATGGCGATGAGAAGGAGAGGGATGAGAACCATAAGGAGGAACAGGATGATGATGCTGGTGACGATGATGACGATGATGATGATGGTTGCGATGATGATGGTGATGATGAGGATGATGAGAAACACCACGCCACAGATGGTGGTGATGAGGAGGATGAGGGGCGGTCATGAGGAAAACGAAAAGGGATGACGATGATGAGAAGGAGAACGACGACGAGGAAGAAAGGGGGCAGGAGGAGGAGGAGGAGCAGGAAGATGAGAAGGGCACAGAGGAGGACTGACTTTCCGGCCGGTCCAGTCAGTCTTTCCTCTGAGAATCGGGGTAAGATGACAAAGGAATTAAGATCTCATGTTCACTCTGCTCAGGGGAAGACGGGACGGGATGAGACATTGATAAGACAAGTATCCGTTAAGCAAGACTAGTCTATCAGGAATGTGAAGGGAGGAGGCCGGCTGGCCTACGACCGACGACGCACGACGGCCGAGGGCTGGCGCGCTCCTTCTCTCTCCTGCAAGCCAAGGTTGGCTTGTTCGAGCAGTCACGCAGCTGCGGAACGCAGCTGTTAGTTCCAGCGGACAGTGCAACGCACGCAAACTAAATGATGCTTTAATTTAATATGAGGCGGAGAGGAGCCTATTTACTCCCCCTGCGGCGGGCCGCGCAGAGCCCATCCAGCCACGGCACCCCCGGCCTGTACATTTGCACAACCACCGGAGCCAACCCGAAAAAGCTTTTACAGCTCAGCGGTGGCTGCCAGGGGGCCAAGGGCCGAAGAGACTCGACGTTTCCCACCATTATGATAAATAAATTCTCTCCGCTGGACCGGCTTAGCCGACCAGCAGAGGCGTCCGCATCCAACACGCGTTCCGCGCGTGGATAAAATTGCATTGCATGCGCCTGCCGCGACTGAGTCACGCGGGCGAAACTCAGTTCAGGTCCTGTCACGGGTTGGGCTCGTCCTCTTCTCTGGGCGGCGCCGGGGGAGGCGGGTTTGACGACGCCGATCCTCCCGTCTGTACCTCCACGCCACGAGGCGTGCGGGACCGCCCTCGTCCTTTTTCAGCGTCGCTATTCGATGCTGTCCCTATTGGCGGGAAGCGTAAGCCGTGCCCCCATGTTGATAGCACGTGCCAGTAATTCAGAGTGCACCACTCGGCGTCGGTAAGCCACGTGATGCTGTTCCGATGGACGTAGTACCCGGCGTGGGTTCCGTTCACGTATCGCGGGTAGGACTTGGACGGGTCGTACTCGTAGCTGTTGTCCGCAGCGCTGCTGGCAGCATCCGTGGCCGCGCCTGCGGCAGCATCCATGGCCGCGCCGGCGGCAGCACCCATGGCCGCGCCGGCGGCAACACCCATGGCCCCATCGCGCGCACGTCGTGAATCCGACCGATCCCTCATGTTGGGATGTTGAGGGTATGTCTCCCTGGTCGTCACGGCTGAGCCGGCGACTGAACGCGGGGATTCGGTGGCTTCTTCGGGTACCCGAGCGTCTGAGACGCCAGGTCTAATAGGCGGAGGGCGCGATAAAGGTCTAGCCTTCGGTCCAGCCGGCGCCCGTGGCCCCGCGATCTCGGCTTCGCCGTCGTGGTCTGGATTGTTATTCCTACGATCGTTCATGAATTGTATTATACTCCTGGCAGCAGTCGCTGCGGCGACGCCATATTTTCCGCACGCAGTACGGAAGGGTCCATAATCTTTGTCCTGGAGTTCAGCACCAGGGTCAGGATATTTATCCTGGAGCCAAGAAATGGCTTCCTGTATAAGAGCACCGTGGCAACGGACATCATTCTGCACTTTCCTGCCCATCTTGTGGGCCAACCGGCCGACCTCTCTATCATGTCGTCCGTTTGAACAGCCGCACGGATGCGGCAGTCGAAGGCGTACTCGTCGGTCCGTCTTTTCGAAGCAATATTTTCCGTGCTTGCCATGTCGGGACGAATGATTCGCCCCGGGTAACCAACGAAGTGATCTTCCGATATGAAGAAGCTGATTATTTCGCGAACAATTGCAAAAATCCTTACGGGCCGAAGGCCCACCTGCATTTGTTGTACTGGTGCCAACCAACTGTCATGTAATATGGTCTGGATGATCTCCGGGATCACGTGTTCTGTCGTTCCGGTCAGGATAACCCTGCCGGGATTAGTAGGGTTTTTTCCTGTATGTTCAACTACGTAATGGGCGGCAATTTCCCGAACTTCTCTCCCGAACAATCATATTTTGATCAAAGGGTCATCGTGGTGAAAGTATACGTGTCCATCAGAATGGTCAAGAGTGATGTTTCCGTCAGTTATCAGCGCGGCCTTAGGCCCGCCGCTTGCTGTGAGATCCAGATCCATTTGTGATGGTTCGCGTGCCATCGCGGCTTCGCCGGCGGCATGTCGCAACGCTGGGATAATAAGACGATGGTCCCGACACATGTTAACCCGTCTTGAAACAGACTGAGAACTGCGAGTCGGCCTCGCTCTAAAATTGTTCTGCCAGGCGACTGGTAGCCGCGCAGGAGGGTTGTTGTTTTCGGCGTTGTTCCCATTACCCTCATCCAATGCACCAAACCAAGGTCTACCAAAATTTACCGCGCCATCTATTGCAGCAAGTGTCGGAGCAAAGACATTGGTTCTAGTCATGTAATTGAACCACCTCTCCCAGCCGATCCGAGGAGTGACTCAGTCATCCTCTTCATCAGGCCAATGAAAGGATCTCGGGCGATCGCATTGGTCAGTCAAACTTAGTTTCCCACAATCTCGGCCACCAGGTATTAATAGGCGGGGTTTGCCTATTTACGTTTCTGGCTGAATATTCAAGCCACGATATGAATCTTTTGACAAAAGGCTTCAAATATTGGAAGAAAGGAGCATGTCGCGCCGGAGGCTGAGCCTCGACGTCTTCTGGGACCCAAGCTGGACAATTGCTGGGCTGGCTAGTGCCAAATATCGTGCCAGCGGCCGCCATTGTAGCAAACTGTCCAGAGGCCCATCTTCGCTCCTGCTGATTGTTGTTGCTGACGTTTTTCATGACATTGGCAGAAGCTCTCGCTTGCCTCTTTATACGCGCCTGTATATTGTCGTGGCGATGCCATGATAGCCCCTCTTCATGATCCACCGCTATGCAGAGGCCGTGTGCCTAAAGGGGCTGGGGGATAACTCTGCGGTTCCAAATCTGGGTCATGTAATCGTGCGTGACCCTGTATTTGTATTTGACCGGACACTTGCAGACAGGACAGTTGGCAAAACCTGTCCTCACCCAGTGGTATCGGCCACGCAGGAACCTCCCGTCGTCATCCCAAGGGATGGATGTAATTCGATCCTGGATCGCGGCCGACAATCTTGGCCTGTGGCTCCAATCAATGATTATTCTCTCGTCTGTATGAATACAGGCAATAATCGACGCATTGTCGAAGGTGACCTCGTATGAAGACAACTCGCGATTGAAGAGTACCGTCCAGCGCATCTGATCTGCCTGTCTCACAAGGGAGACGGCTTTGTCGATGTCAGTGAACCTCGGCACTTCTCGAGACACTAGGGTCCCATCTGGGCGAACTCTGTGCGAGAAGCGAGTGAGCACTCTGCCGGTAAAAACAAGAACAAGATCCCATAGCTCATGGTGATTGGGGAAATGTGGCCATAGGTGGTGGGTGTCATCTGCGGGCCAAGTCCCCACCGATGGCGGCTCCCCTCCCTGAGCTGGGTTACTCATGGGCACTAGGGTTCTCGCAACGAGTGGCTGTCCATATCTCCGCTGGTTTAGCCACGGAGGAATACCCGAGGGATCAGGCATTGTTGGGCTATTGTTTGCCGGAAGCAATCGCAACAATTCATAGTCTGCGTCATGGCAAAGCCCAGAGTCGCTCTGGGAAGCGAACACTTCCAATCGTAGATTCCAAAGGTGTTTGTAAGTCTGTGATATGAAGAAGGGAGCCGTGACTCCTGACTTGGCCAGGGTCATACGGGACGTACATCCTTTCAATTGAAGCAACGAACGTTGAATGTCCCTGGCATGCCCTATAGAATATGGGCATTGGCATCTCCCTTCCGTCTTCGTCTTGCAATGGGCCCCTCTCATGTCGCCCCCACATGGCGTGGATTTGTGTTCCAATAGTCCTGGGACTATCATTGGGGAAGATTCCTAAAACTTCGACCACCCCTGGCGGCAACGCAGCTAAGCTGTGTGCGGACAGGGCGTACGATTGGAAAGTAAAACCGTCATCTTTTAGTTTCTGCACCAGGTCTCCAAAGTAGACCCAGCCTCCCGACGATCTAGCATAGTCGGAGCA